ATACAAGTGAAATGTGTTCTCTGCTAGATGATGATAAGTGCTAGAGGAGAAAAGTAAGTTGGGAAAGGGATGGGAATTGTTGGGGGTATGCACTTGGGAAGTGGTTGGAATTTTATTTAGGGTGGTCACAGAAAGCCTAGCTGAGAAAGCGACATTTGAATAATGTTCCTAAAAAGGTGGGGAATCCAGTCATACAGATATCTGGGATGACTGCATTCTAGGCAGAAGCTTGTACACCCTTGAGTGGGACTGTGATCGAAGTGTTCAAGGGTCAGCAAGGAGACCAGTGTCACTAGCGGGTAGGGAGCTAGGGAGAGAGCAATAGGGGACAAGGGGCAGAGAGGTCACAGGGGCAGATGGTGGAGAGTCATGGGGAGCCATTGCAGGTCTTTCAGAAGAGGAATGATATAATCTATTTAGATCTGAGTAAGATCTCCATGACTGCAGTGTGGACAACAGAGCAAAAGGGGAAAGGGTTGAAGCAGAGAGACTAGCAAGTAAGAGGCTACTGCAGTCATCCAAGTGAGAGAGGATGATGGCTTAGACTGGAACAGTGAGGAGTAGAGGATGGGGGAGAAGTGATCAGATTCTGGACATAATTTGAAGAAAGGCTCCAGGGTAGAGCCAATAGGGTTTGCTGATTTTTGGTTGTTGGGTAAGATAGAAGAAGAATCCAGGACAGTCCTGAGGTTCCTGGTTTGTAGGAAGTGGTGTTGCTGAGTTGGAGAAGCCTCTAAGTGAAACAGTTTTAGGAGACTGGCAGGCTCTAGCTCTGTACTATCAGTTATGAGATGCCAGTTGTCCTGGAGGCAGTTGGTTTATATGATCCTGGAGTTCAGAGGTGGTGTCTGGGCTGCAGACCTCAATTTGGGAGTTTAAGCATAGAGACTGGGCTTAAATTCATGAGGCAGGAGGAGAACACAGAAGAATGATGGGTGTCTGGAAAGGGAAACTGGAATAGCAATCAAACAAGGTGCATTCTTGTGATATTAGGTGTGAGAGTGAAGTGAGGGGTGGACTTCAATGTAAACCCCAGCTTTTAGGCCTTAGGGGCCTGGGTAACTGTCTGTGCTTTCATCTAATTTAGAAAACATGGGGCTGATGATGGTTCAGAAAGTTTGAGTTGGCAGGGTCTCTGGGACTGATTAGTGATGTCTCCTAGGATTATGGGCATCCACACCCAGGTTGGAGAAATAAGGCTGGGAGGCGCCAAGTGATTGTTGATACCAGGCATGTGGAGGAAAATTTCACAGACTAAAGAGGAGAGGTTGGGAAGAGGGGATATGGCTTCCCTTCTCAGGTCTATCATTCACAGTTCTGATTCACACTCTTAAGAGTGACCATGAGTATGGAACCTGGCTCTCCAGCCATAGACTGTGGGACCCTCTCCTGTCTTCTGAATACTGTACTTCTCTTAATGCTGTCACATCTGTGGTCCTGCAAGAGGATGTGGCTTGCTCAAGGTCACAGAGCTAGCAGATGACAGAAACAGGACTTGGATCCAGACCTCCTCTCTACCCTCTCACTAAACCGCACTGTTTGTAACTTTTGGTTTCAGGTGACAAAAAAATACAAATCATTCTAGCTTAAGCCAAAGAACAAACTATCTTGGTGCACATCACTGCTGCAGATAAATGGCCATAGCACATTTGGCACCAGAGTTGCAAATAGTGTTGTCAGCCTTCCTGCCCCCCAATCTATTGAATTTTTCTTGTCTTACTCTTTATCTCTGTGGGTTCCTCAAAGTGGTAAGGGTGGGGAGTGGCCCTCAGTGGGCTGGGGTGGATCCAACCCAGGGTCTAAGAGAAAAGCTTCAATTGGCCCAGCCTGGGTCACTTCCCTACAAGTGGGGGCAGGAGGAACAAGAGGTCAGTCACTCTTCTTCTCCCTCCCCCACAGAAGCCTATGAAGTTGAGGGGTTGTTCCCCACAGTAGAGAGAAGTGTCCTTATCAGAAGAAGGGGGAAAGAATGCTGGGCTGATGGTAACAACAGATCACCCATGGTGCGTACACAGGCAGGTTTCTGTTAGATTTGCAATCAGGGGTAGATGCTGACAGGGAAAGGGCCTACATGATAAGAAAAGTATGCTATAACTGGGCAATAAAGGTGACAGCCTTTAAAAAGGAAACTAAAATCCCTCCCCTTTCCTTCCTTCTTCCTCTTAGAAATTGTGGTAAATGAATTCTTGACATATTATAGGAATGTCTGCCCATTTAGTGCATGTTTTTACTTATATTTTCAGTCGCACAGATAACCACTGAGATATCTTTGTCAGACTGCAATTTAGATCACTAGTAGAGAACACCAAATATCTTTATTTCACTACTTAGGTTATTTTACATACTGCCTAGGTAATCCAGGTTTTTCTATTCTTCCATACATGAATGTGTATTTAATTAGAGATGAGATTTTTAAAGGTCTTGAACATTGTTTACAGTGAAAGCTACCTGCAAGGTAAATGTTTTGCCCCTTTGCTTGATCTCTTCATTGCTTTGACCAGTTGAGAGAAAAACCTGGCCCCTAGGGGCAGTTTATAATTCCCTCTCTGCCTAGTTTGCTTATGTGGTCCTTAGGTCAGGAGTGCACAGCTCTGAACCCTTACCAGCCATGTGACTTTGGTCAAACACTGGAACCTCAGTTTTCTCATCTGTAAGATGGGTCACTGTGAGGCTGGGGTGAGGCTGTGAGTAGAAATGTGTTGAATATTTTAGAGCACCATACAAGTGGAAGGTACCATTTTCATTGCAATGTGGTGTTCTCATGTAGGCAGTGGCTGGCATCTGTGGTGCTGGCCTCTGTTTTGCCTTCCAGCTCAGTGAGTTGGCCACTACTGGTTGTGCCATGTTCTGGCAGAACAGCCCTAATGGAAGTGAAGGCAGTCCTGCCACTTTCTTACCAGGTATGTCCCCTTGTGCCTCAATTATCTCATCTCAGAAACAAGTTGGCTATTTTCTGTTCTGTCTTCTTATACCATGGTGTGAGGCTCTGATATAATAAGGACTGGAAGAGCCTTTGTAAGTCATCAAAGCCTTTACAGAAATATAAGGAAGCATTATTACTAGACACAGACATCATTTTTCTATTCTGTTCTTTTAAAAATCACATAATCAACTTTGCTACATTAAGAGTTACTTTGATTTATTCAAAATTACATTTTCTAGATTTGAAACTACCAACATGAAATCGATTGAATGTTTAAAAAGCATATACTTTAAGATAAATATTTTATTTAAAAATTAATTTCCTGTATACAGCACATTAAGAATATCCATTCTATATATAGGGGTTGGCAAAATCTATATAGAGCTAGGGTCCTAAAGACCAAAGGCTCGACCAGACCGGAAGTCAGTGCTGGGTTGCTGTGGCGACCCAGCACTGACTGGGGCCTCTGTGGCGCCTGACCCAGCACTGACTGCCTAGGGGGCTGTGGATCAGGCCCAGAGAGAGGCCTGCAGAGAGAGAGGCAGGGTCTGATCTGTAGCCTCTGTGGCAGCCGTTGATCAGAACTTGCCTCTTTCTCTACCGACCTGGCCAACAGCTGTGCCTCCATTTCTCTCCAGGCCACCACCAGGGCTGCTGATCAGCTCCCCCTTTCTGATCAAGCCCCGTTGATAGGCCCAGAGATGCTGACTGGCATAGAAACTGACCAATCAACCTAATCTGGGTGAATGTAAGGAGCCAATGGCTGCCTAGGAGGCAGAGCTTTTGACACTGACGGGCATAGAAACTGACCAATCAGAACCAAATTGGCCAGCAGAGGAGGGCAGTTGGGGGCGAGATCAGGCCTGCAGGGGATTGTAGGAGTAAGTAACAATATTATTTGGAATAAATATTAGGAAACATTTTAAGAGTGAAGGATGAGATTTTTAGCTATTTCAGCACTAAAACATTCCTTTCCAGGTATAGAATGGCCTCACATTTTATTTTATTTTTCTTGAAAGCAGATAAATTGCCTCCTTGTCTCATACCTCATCTTATTCAAATTGGACCCCACATTAATTCAGCCTTTTCGGCCTGGGAGAGATTATTTTATATCCTCTGTTGATTATAATCACAGTAACTTTATTCTCACTACCCCTAAATGAGAATTTCCTAGATAATTATCTTTTACTTCTCCTCATTAATGGGAAATTTTATACTGAATAAATCTTCTCTAATATGGAACCTACACTTGTTTTGCTTGCACTTCCTTTTTTTTCTTGACTTATGGAAAGACTTAGTGTGTATACAAACTGAATATGTATATATTAGAGTAGGGGTGGGCAAACTTTTTGACTCGAGGGCCACAATGGGTTCTTAAACTGGACTGGAGGGCCGGAACAAAAGCATGGATGGAGTGTTTGTGTGAACTAATATAAATTCAAAGTAAACATCATTACATAAAAGGGTACGGTCTTTTTTTTTAGTTTTATTCATTTCAAACGGGCCGGATCCGGCCCGCAGGCCGTAGTTTGCCCACGGCTGGGTTAGGGGCAATCAGGCAGGCAGGCAGGTAAGTGGTTAGGAGCCAGCAGTCCCAGATTGTGAGAGAGGTGTCCAATCACTGGTTTAGGCCCAAGGGGTCCCCGATTGGAGTGGGTGCAGGCTGGGCTGAGGGAACCCTCCCCCTCTGTGCACAAATTTCATGCACTGGGCCTCTAGTAATACAATAATTAATCAGTAATAATATAAGAATAAACTTTTGCATACTCACAACTGTAAACCTATGTTTGCCCACCCCTGTAATTGGAAGAGTAAAATTCCATTAAATGATAGGGAATAACTTGCTTAGAATCTTAAAAATAAATTTTTAATTCATTTAAAATCAACCTGGAAGCTAACTTACTTCCTAGTTATTAGTCAGTATTTCAGTTCTTATAGTAAATGTAAAGGTAACCAAATAGTCTAATAAAAGTTGATCTGAAAAAAAGAAATGTATATATATCCCCAGTCAGTGCTCATTTTTCTCACCAAGAACATATGTCTTAAAATATTTAATCACACTATTTCTTTTAGTCCCACAGGATCACATGTTGAATGGTGTAAACAGCTTATTGCTGCTACAATTTCTAGTCAGATTTCAGGTTCAGTGACATCAGAAAATGTATCCAGAGATTATAAGGTAAGCAGCATTGAGTTCTTAATTCATTTTCATTATGCTAAGTAGCCAAGAAGCTTTGCAATTTTAAACCGAGTGAGACTTTGGTCCCTTGTTGCTGGATGGCCATTTGCTTGGGAACAAGGCTGAAAGATTCTCTGTTGTTAGATGTGAACTTTAGAAGAGAAACTTTACCAGGATCTAGTATATGTGGTCATAATTTTGTAATTGAGAGGAAAAGATGTCTTTATATTATAATCATTCTTTTAAAACTCCAGTTTCATTTTATGACTTAATATATATTATATTATATACTACTTTTTTACCTTATTGTAATAAATACCTATATCTTCTTTGTTAATATTCTAAATTTCAGAAAATATCTGATGTACGGTATTTTCCTACAATTTGTTTATGTATTTAGGTACTACCTGTGGGTATTCAGCATTAACATATGATAATATAATGTAAAACATTTGTAAAATCTCAAGAATATTTTATGGGTAGCCTGATATTTTAGTCCTTATTAAATTAAGAAATATCTTCTTGTTTATTTTTAAAGTTGGATTTTCTGCTTATTCTAAAGTTAACAGTGATAAGCTCCTTTTCAGTAGAGAGGGGCTGGGGTTCTTTTACTCAACACTGCTTCCCTAGCATGATCTTGGAACTTAGCAGGTGCTCAATAAATATTTGTTGAATCAATTAACAAATAAAACACTTAAGTACTCCATCTTTTAGGTTGAAGATTAACTTTGTTTTAATGTAAATAAACTATTAACAGGTACATTAAATGAAACTGTGTTTACATTTCAGGTTGTAATGTTTGCTTGATTTGAGATTTCTGTTTATTATAGTAATTTTGCCTGCTAGTAAGAGATAATTGATTTTCATAAGTATTGCAAATTACATTTAGTATTCCAGACTACCCTCAGTCAACAGTCTCTCAAAATCATGGTCCTTGCCAGGCATCAAATCTTACAAACAATTCAAGAACTACAATAAAGACCCTAATTCATTCCTAATAGCCGTTCCTTGTTTAAGGACACTGGACTCAGTTCCTTTTTAGCTCATAACATAAGTGCAAAGACTGGCTCAAGAGGCCATGTAATTGAAAATTTGGCTGTCATGCTGTACTTGCTTCATACAAGCTGTCAAATGCTTTTGATGACACCTACCGAAGGAAAGCATTGGCTGTGGATTAGTAGAAATTGGATAATCTGCCCAACCAGAAGGATGACAGTGTATTCCTTAATAAGTTTCCCTGTTATTTGATTTTTGTGTTTGCCCACGTAGTAGCAGCTGGGACTACAGGTCCTCAAAACCTGGCCGACGCCCTAGCTGGTTTGGCTCAGTGGATAGAGCATCAGCCTGTGGACTGAAAGGTCCCAGGTTCAATTCCGGTCAAGGGCACATGCCTGGGTTGCTGGCTCGATCCCCAGTGTGAGGCATGCAGGAGGCAGCCGATCAATGATTCTCTCTCATCATTGATGTTTCTATCTCTCTCCCCACTCTCCCTTCCTTTCTGAAATCAATTAAAAATATATATTAAAAAAAAACAACCCGCTGGGCAAATATGCCATCTCCAGGTGGGAGAAACATCTGCTGTATCGCTGATGCTTGAGTGGCTGGTCACTGAGCAGTTACTGGTTGCCCTATTGCCTCCACTTTAGCTGAGTAAATGCCCTGTTGAGTGGAGAAGCTCAAGGACCCATGTTAGCAGAGAATAGCTCTTAGTCCTTGGAGTGATTTTCTGTACTGACAATTAATGAGTTAACTGTAATGTTTTCATTTGGTTAAATATTTGTTAGTGCTGTGTGGGTTCTATAAAAGATTGAATGTTGATTGTGTGCATAGCTTTCTAACCTCTTTATTAATACATCAGACTGAGTCTGTACTTTAACATAAAGCAACTAAGTGTTTTTTTTTAAATTTTAGTCTATTTACAGATTTTGTGTAGCAGAATTGGCTCATATCGGAATGGTTTAACAGATGGTATTCAGAAAAAACTAAGGCTTTTCTATATTTTGTAAATTGAATTTTAAGTATCTACATCAGATCATGGCTAAAGTCTTTGATGAATTATTGTCTTATCATTGTCTTTGTTATATTTGCCCTGTAGTCAAATCTACAAAGTTGCTGTTAAAGTTATTATTCAGGAGTTATATTTTTTCAAGGAACCAGTTTTTTTTAATAATAAATATTTTTTATTCTAAACCACAAAGATAATTTTACATGCTACTTATAAAGTAGTTCTTAAAATCAGAGTAACCAAGATGGGCCTTTGAGACACCTCTGGCTTGGGAGCCACTGTTTGGGGTTTTCCCTAAAGGTCCAGATATAACTCTTTTTTAAAATATCCTCACCCGAGCATATTTTTTCATTGATTTTTTAGAGAGAGTGGAAGGGAGAGAGAGAGAGAAGCATTGATGTGAGAGATGCACATCGATTGCCTCCCGCATGTGCCCCTGGGATGCTGGACCCTGCAACAGAGGAACATACCCTTCGTACCCTTGACCGGAATGGAACCTGAGACCCTTCTGTCCGAGGACTGACACTCTATCCACTGAGCCAAACCATCTAGAGCCAGATACAATTCTTTGATAATTTAATTTGTAGTCATCAATCAGTAATATTTGAAATTGTCTATTGCACAATATCTTATTTAAAATACACACTCAAACTTTGGGTGGTGGGCACACAGTGCAATATACAGATCTTGTAACATAGAAATTCACACATGAAAACTATATGTTCATATTGACCAACGTCACCCCAATCAACTTAATAAAAAAAATAAAATACACACTCAATTTGGAGGTTAATTTATTGTAGGTAAAATTCAAGGTTTGTAATTAAATGGGAGGAGGTGTTTGTATGGAACAGAGTACTTGTATCTTTATTTGAAACTAGAGGCCTGACCCACGAAATTCATGCACTTAGGGAGGTCCCTCAGCCTGGCCTGTGCCCTCTCGAAGTCCAGGAGTGGGCCTAAGCCATCAGTCGGACATCCTTAGTGCTGCTGCGGAGGCGGGAGAGGCTCCTGCCACTGCCACTGTGCTCCCCAGCCGTGAGCCTGGCTTCTGGCTGAGCGGAGCTCCCCCTGTGGGAGTGCATTAACCACCAGGGGGCAGCTCCTGCATTGAGCGTCTGCCCCCTGGTGGTCAGTGTGCATCATAGTGACCACCAGTCATTTATTTGGTTGATTTGCATATTAGTTTTTATTATATAGGATGCTGATTGTCTTCTGAATGGCAGGCTGCTGAGAGTGCTTCCACATCCTCATCAACCTCCTAGCATGTACAGGGTTCTGTACAAGCATTGGAGAAGTCACTTGATTTGCTTAGTATCATACAGTCAGAACTGGGATTTGAACTCAAGATGGTATTAAAGCTCTAATGTTTTGCTAGTACAACTTTACAAAAAAAAAAAAAAAGAACTAGGATTTGAACCCAAATCATCCCATTTAAGAGCTAGAATGAATTTTAAAATTTGTCCCACCCCTCTGCCCACTGTTTTTCAAAATGTGGCCCTTGGGTCTTCTCACATCAGCACTCAATGGAGTACCTGCAAAAATGCACCTTCCTTGGACCCCTCCTACTCTGTGAATCAGAATCTCTGAAGGCAGGCAATCCAGTGCTTCATATATTTCTTACATACAATAAAATCTGAAAAGCTGGGTTCCCGAGGTTAATATCTGTTGAAATTAGTGATGGGACCATACATTGCTGGTACATGTCCACAAATCTGAATAATTAGCAACCCATGATAGATTTTGGAGATGATTGTTTTATTATTTACTCATATCATAAATTCACAGCTCAGGATCAGATCACCCAAAGTGTGGTAAGAAAATCACCAATTTCACATGTGATGAGTTTAGATGGTATGTCCATGGACATTTTTAACAGTTACATAATTATTTTAATGAGTTTAGTAAAACCAGCACATCACACTTGTAGTTTAATGGATGTTATTACTTAGAGCTAGGCAAAGTATGAAAAAGGAGTGGATTTAAAGGCCATTTAAAGGTAAATACTAATATTAGTACAGGCACTATACAGATACAAAAACCAACTTGTAGAGGCAATATATAAAACGACAGAAGTTTGAGAAACATTGTCGCTGATGAAAGAGTAGATAGCCTTTATGTTGATTTGTAAATCAACTGTATTAATAAATGTTTGCTTTAATACCAATTCATCCTGAAGATTTGACTAATAATTAAGACTCCTAGAAGAAATATAATAAAACTAGAAGCACGAAGATTCGCACAATAGGCCTTCCTTTCCCTGGCTGCCAGCACTGGTTTTCCTCCGGCACCTGGGACCCAGGCCTTTGGTCCGGCCGC